AAGTAAGTAAAAATCAAAAAAGGGAACTCTCTTGCACTTAATTTCCTTTACACTGTTTAAGAATTCTGAATAGAAGTAGAGGTGATGAAATATGATCCCTAAAACTTAAATTCTGCCATTTTTATCAAAAGTGTAGTTTTTCTCTGAGAGTATATATTTCTTTAGGATAACCCCTTTCTTTAATAGTCTTGAATTTATTGTCTTAAAGATGAGGGTTAATACAGTGTTTTATTGAATAGCAGTGATAAATTAATTGTATTTTTGATCTGGGGGAGATTATTTCTCTGAAATAATAATAGCAATATGTTCTGTAGGCTTTGGCTGAGGATGATTATGAAGCAAGAAGAAAAGACCATATATCTCATTTCATACTACGCCTTGCTTACTGTCAGTCGTAAGTACTTTTTGGATTATGCTGTACTCTTATTATTAAGTTTAAGTCTACACAGATACTACATTGCTTTATTACAGACATTATGGATATTTTAGAGTACCATGGCTACTAAATAGAAAGGTAGGCTCAAAGAGAGCAGGGTTTTTTTTTATAGGAACCTAGAAAAAGCTATGCCAAAAGGGATATTTGGGATCAAAATTAGTATTCAGATTTTATAATACTCAGTAAAAGTATAAAGTTTTGTATCTTGTGCATAGAGCATTGATTTGGGTATCCTCCTTTTGACATCTTTTTTAAGATTAAAGCACGCCAGTATTCACTTTTTGTTAGGCTTTCACAGTGAATGAGAATTTAATTTAGATTAACTGCTGCATATGCTTAAACTATTGATTACTGATCAAAGACCTGACTATGTAAATAGGCTTTATATTATTGTCTCAAGAGAAAGCCTTGTTTCTGGCAAACTAAAAATACCATCTGAGTTTGAGGCTTCCTCTACTGATCCTGCAGATTCACTGCTGTGGATGGTTGCTCTGCAAGTTTTTTGTCATGTGAAATCTCAAGCACAAAGTTGGTCCTGTCAGGTGCATTTCTTTTGCTTCAGCTGTAGTTTTGGGATGAAATTATACAGGTTCTCAGTGGTTTATGTCTGTTAGCAGCTTTGTTTTGCATTAGTGTGAACTCCAGACTCCTTACCTTTGCAGTCCTGTTTTGGAATTAAGCCTGGGAAATACAAAGTTTATACTGTTTTGAATTGTTAATTCAATTGCACTTCAATTTGCAATATAGTTTAAATTAGGTGAGTGTGGTAGATTACATGTTATGATACTGTGGTGGCTGACATGACTGCTGTGCTGCTATGGATAGAAACAGATTGTGTAAGCAAAAACAGACTGGAAGGGTGACTAGGAGGGACTGTGCTGTAAGCCAAGATATGGAGCTGGAGTGGATGGGGCTTTTCCTTGGAATGGATCATGAGACAGTCGAATGTTTTCGGGCAAGTGTTAGAGAAGAGACCAAGGTGGCTAACAACATGGTAGGTGTAAGCTACAGACCATCTGATCAGAACAGGAGGGAGCACAGCCCTCAAAAGGCTCCAAATAGAGGAAACCTCACCATGACAGGCCCTGGGTGGCTTTAAACACCCTGACATTGCCTGGATTATTCACATCCCATTGTGTTGCCCTTTCAAAAACCATCTGGGCTGTGCCCATCTATCCCTGCCATGTGTTGCCGCTCTATATTGCCCTGGAATCTCCTGATTCCAGATAATAGATGCAGATAATTGGACTATTTTCTTTTTCTCTGAAAGCTATGTTTTTTAAAAAAGATCTTTATCATTTGTATAAGAGCTTATTTGACTTACTGAGTGCTTGCTTAGGAAATAAATGGGAGACATGGTTCAAACCCTGTGTTTCAGGGAAGTATCTTGGGAATTAAGCTGTAGGCAGGGCAGAGGTGGACAGCTTGTTGAAGATGAACCGCTTTGCAGAAATAAATACAAGCTATTTTGGGCCACAGAATCAGAAGGAAAGAGCCTGGCTGTATTGTCTACAGGGAAAGACCCCTTCTTGGGGAGGAGGGGCCTGGGTTGGAGCTCTGGGGCACTCTGAAAACTACTTGCAAATGTATTTTTGTGTTCCTGGTTATATACACATAGTTTGATGCAGTGTTTCAATAAAGCAGCTTGATAGTCAGTTTCCACTTAAACTAGCTTTTTTTTTATTTCTTTGGGAAGGTGGACTTAGTGCTTGCTCAGAAAAAGGAAAATAGTAACTTAGGCACCATGAGGTGATTCTGTGCCTACCATTCTTCATTCTTTCTTGAGAAGCAGCTGTTTCAGGGATGAGATATTTCTATGCTCTAAACCTGGCATGTTCCTGGAAAGATAAAATTGGGACCCAAAGAGAATGTACTGTTCTCTAAGCTTTTGTCATATTTGGTCAGAAAAATAACCTTGACACAAATCATTAGGTTAATTGATGAAAGCTGTTAAGGTAGGTGTGTTTGAAAGTGTACTTTAAATAGACAGAGCTGCAAACAGGGTTGAATTCAGTCCCCTGTAGCAGTTGTATTCACAGGCTTGTTTTCCTGCGGCACTGCCTTTTAAAGGTTCCAGTTGGGCAACAGTGCCACCAAGGGGTATGAGTTTACATCAGCTGTTTCTCTAGTCTGTATTGGATTGTTGTGGTTTTTACATGGTCTGAAGTGGCCAGCTGCACCATTCTTGTCAGTTAAATTTGTAATGTAATCTTCTCTTGTCTGTTCTTCTGCCTTCTCATAGCCAGGACTTTAAAGCTTATTCCCATGTATGTACCATCTTGAATGAACAGTCTCATCAATACTGTTCTTTCCACATCTCTTGCAATATCACTTACTTCTGTCAAGACCAGGAAATAGAATAATCTCGTTTCAGTCACTTTCATGGCAAACACAGCTCTACTTTTGTTAGTCCAAAACATCTGCAGTCATGCTTCTTAGCACACTGTTTCTTCACAAGTCTTTTTGGATTGAATGCTCCTTCCTGAAGGTTTCCTGCCTTTTCTTCCAAGCTCCTCGGTTTGTGGGTCCAGTGCCAAAGCCAGCATTACATCAGATGTTGTGTTCACTACATTTAACATCTAGTTTATAGAGAAAGAGAGAATGCTTCAGCAGAAAATGTGTTATTTTTAACTTTTATTTATTTCTTTGCAGTGAGGATCTCAGGCGTTGGTTTCTTCAACAAGAAATGGATCTCTTGCGATACCGCTTCAATGAACTAACTGACAGTTTAACACAGAAATTCCTGGAACACGTTAACTTATCATTTGAAGCTGTAAGTATGTTATTTTCTGCATTTGTGTTACGTTGGATGTGCCTGTTGTTTTTTTAAAATTCTCATTATGACAGTTTCAGTACTTCTGTTTAAAAAACAAAATGTAGAGTTTTGGGTTTAAAAACCCAACCACACAGAACTTCTGAACCTGGAGAATATGGTGTGCATGCCACAGAAACAAGGAGTAAGTGATGTAATTATGTGCTGCAACAAGAGAAGCTGGGTCTGCTTACAAAGGTAAGTTAACAGCGTTTACAGAATCTGATGGGTATTTTTGAATAAAGATTCTGGGAGGGTTAGATCTAGTCTGTGTTCTACAGGTGTGGCATTTGTATGTCCATCAGGGCAAATAACACTCAGGTCACAATTACCTTGCTTTCATTTATGTGTAAGTGGTGAATTGTTTTATAATTCATCTTTAAGAGTTTCAGTGATAAGAACGCAATGGCTATGTTTTATTCTAACCTGAAGTATATGTGCAATCCATTCTCATCAGTTTACTGAACTTAGTTGGAAATTAGTTTTGGTTAATGTATGTCTTTATTCATAAACTTTACTCTAGAAGCTTTGCAATCTACTAACTACTCTTACGATGCTGGCTTCTTGCTATAGTAACCAAGGCAAACCACAGTGACCTGGGGACTGTGATCATCCTGTATGGGTTGCTCAAGAGCATAACTTACTGCGTAGTTGTCACTGTGGGTTATAACCAGTAGATTTCTACTTTGCAAGTATATTTTTGACACATGTTTCCATGTTTGTATGTTTCCACATGCTAAAAATCATTTCAGTGCTGCTTGTTTGTGCACCTTATGTGAGTTATTGCAGCTATAGATGTGTAACCGAGAAAGTGAGTTAGCTTAAAAAAACCCTAAACCAAGCTGGTATTAGATATGGTAGTTAAAAATTGCCTGCTGTGTTGAAGGATTTATGTGTAATTTTAAAAGACATTATGTACAATTAAATAACAGGTTTATTGTTACATGTATGTGTGTGTATAAAGTCTATGTAAGTTCTGATCTTTTCACTCACTAGACTATTTGATTTTGGCCTATTAAATACATGCTGAGGAGAATGCACGATGTAAGTTGGGTCCAAAATTCTGTAAATGTTCTTACTCCACAGGTGTTGCTTTCTCATTAGAACTTAGATTCAAAGCTTTTTCCCCTTTTAACTTAAACTCATTCTAATTCCTTACCAATTTATGAAAAACCTTGAGAATACCAAAACTGTGTAGTCAAACAACTGTTGGTTTTGAGATGCTTTAAGGATATTACAAATGAGTTCCTGCTGTTATATACCGCTTTTTTTGTCTGAGTGGATTAACTGAAAATGCCTTTTGCAGTTTTGGCATCAATTATTTCAATAAAATTTTGCACTGTGGCTATGAACTGTTTTGTTGGAAAGCTTCAGCTTTGCCTGTAGCTCTCAGAGCAAACTTAATAAAAACTAACGTACAATCATAGCTACTGAAAAAAACCTTTCTTTTAAAATACTGTTTAATTACAAGAACTTAAATATTCTGAAATACGTGACTGACATGCATGAGATGTTCCTGGATTGAAATATCTGTCACTGGTGCCTGTTGATGGGGAAGGTGATTTGTGCAGTGTTGAGAATGAATTTGTCTGGCAAAACAGTAACACACACGCTTTCCTGGGTCTTCGAGAGACTATTAGAAATGTCATTCTTTGGTTCAACAGACCTTTCAGCAAGCACTATGGTTGTGGAGCTATATTTCCATTGCTTATTCCCCAGTCTCATATTGTCCTGTCACAGTTTCAGCATTCAGCCTTGTGAGAATAAATTAATGTTTGCAGGTTGCTGGAAATAGTTAGTGGTATGGATTGGTTCTGTGCTATTGAATGTGCCTTCAGCATGTCAAAATGATTAAGAAGTTATTGCTTTCCTACGCCTGTAGGAAAAAGCATCATTTCATTGAAAATCTACTTCCCTGCTTCTACTTCCCCCCGCTTCCAATTCCAGTGGGAATTTAAGCAAAACTAATCCCTCCTTGAATGATCAGGTATAAAACATTTGAATACTACTAAGGAATTCCATATGTGTCTGAAACAGGTGTAAACTCTATGGTGCAGTGTAGGGGCCACTAAAACTAAGGCTACTATAAAAGCAATATTCTTTTTCTCAATGTTGTATTTGTAAAAGGCTTTCTAAAGGAAATGAAGACCAGCTATACTCTTTATGCTTCTCTATTAGAAGTTACAAGTTTCATGCCTTATTGTGCATACATGAAGATAGAAATCAAACTTTGTGCTACACCTCTTAGGAAAGGGGATGGTCTTCAGGAAAAGGAGTTAGTTCTGATATTACAGTTTGGTTTCTGTATTGGTAAGCAGATAGAAATTTTACTGTGGGATTTTACTTGCTGAAGATATCCTAAGAAAGTTAGTGAAATTTCCTTAAAGAGAAAATGGGTGCCTTACACTTCCTAGATAATGGTTCTGCATTTCAGAATTGTAATCTGAGATAGGCCAGAGCCGCTGAAGTTGAGACCACAATGTAGACCGGCACAGCTGTGTCTCCAGTTAACAATTCTAAGAACCAATGTAAGAAGCAGTTCTCAATATTTAATAAAAGAACTGGTAATATATATTATTTTTTTTTTTTTTTTTTGTGGGAAGGAGGAATAAGTGGATGACTTTGTACAGTTCTGTCACACTTGTCTTCATGTACAGCACCAACAACGTGAACTGAACAGTGACGTATCTGTCACTTCTTTTCATGTTTGCTCGCATGTGTGTGAGATGTATTCATATAATTTTTGCAGGGGTTTTGCAGACTAATTATTGAGATTTTGTGTATCATGGCTTGAAAGTTACTGCTTTATAGAATCAAAAAGTCTTCAATCCCACTCGGGGATAATGTTTAAACAGCTGTTAAGATATTTCTTTCTTTGAAGACTTTAGCACTAAAGGTCTTATTTAGCAACTTTTTGGGAAGATTAAAGTCAGCAACTAGAAGAAAAAAAATACTGGACTTTTTGAATTTTTTATATGACAGCCATCTGAGGAGAGTTTGAAATGATAGTAGGTCTGATCTCATGATTAAAGAGAATTTTAATCAAAGAGCAAGAGCTTTCTGAAACTAAGAATAGAAATTAAATTTAATGAAAATGAATGTTTTAATTTATATAATAGGATTTCTTACGTCCTGTGACTGACATCTATATTGCTGATGGAGCGAAATACATGGCAAAGGGTTTAGTAAAATAAGTAAATACTTGCTCTGGGGAGTTTTACCCGATTATAAAGATGCCCCTTATTTTCCAAAGGAAGGCTGTAAACTGTTTAAAGTATTCAGATTGAAGATGATGACTTCAGTGTAATGAATTTGTGTTTGAACATGTGTAGGATTATTATAATTCACATTTTTTTGCAATGTTTAAAAATATGCTTCTCTACATTTAGTATAAATTATAGAAATTTGAAGCTCAGGTATGTTCTTAGCTGAAATATTTTTACGAAGCTGTCACCAGATTGAGTTAGTCCATTTGCAGCATTTCTGTGAGAAGCCTCTGGAACCTGGACTTTCTGAAAGAAAAAAAAAAGGAATTTTGCTTTGAGTTTATATTTGAAACACTTTTTTTAAGTATTAACAGGTAGATTGCATTTTAATCACCTGCAGGAAATAGCTTTGACCAATCTCTTTCCTGGCAAGTGTGGAAGACGCCTGGACAGGCGCTGCTCAGCCTACTGGAACATTCGTTAGGTGCTCAAAATTTTACAGTACTCTGAAGTATTAGTGTTTATATTATGCCAAATTCATGCCAGCATAGGCAAGACGAAGAGTGTGTGATATTGAATGTAATGTCAAGAAAAGAAGAGGGTTGAAGGAAAGCAAGAATAAAAGTGGGGGAAAAAATTCTTGCTTTCTTTTTTTAAATTTTTTTTTTATTTATTGTGGTGGTGAACTGTTAATTGTAACTGTATCATAATATGAAATTACAGCCTCATGAATGTATGGGTTTCCTTTCTTGCAACTTCTTGTACCTTTTTAATTATTTACGCCTTTATTTAGATGCTGATAGAGATGCCTGTAAACTGTTACTAAGATTGGGACTCAGCTGGAGCCTTTGACAACTGATATTCTCCCAGTTAGTTGGAAGTGGTAGCAAGGGGGAAAGTTACATAAATGTCAGTAGTCTTTTCCTTTGGAGTAAGCATAGGTATGTTATGTTGTGTAAGATGAGGTTGTCAGGTCACTGGTGGCAAGGACTGAGATTGTGCCCAAGAATAGAGACTGATGAGGGTTTGAAATTTTACTATTACTTTTCTGTTTTAGGAAATAATATTTTGATAGGTATTTACTAGCTTGTTTAAAATACAGTTTTCTTAGAGCAGTGTCACCTAACCGATAGCCAGTCGTGGGGTATTTCTCTTGATGTTACCTGTTGCCTGAGGAAACAGTTTTTTGAATGATGCTTGCTTCATGTTAGTTAAAATGCTTCTGTCTTGCAAAAAGCATCTAGTTGTTCAGCTTAGAGCATTAGACTTACAGAAAGTTTAGAAAACATTCTCTTCAGTAATTCTGCACTTTCCTTGTTCAGTAAAGCTTATTTTTATCCTTATTTGACACTTTAATTTCTGGACCTCGGTCTATAATACTGTCTTCAGTAATACTTCATAGATGGCTTGTTGTCAGGTGTCCACCAAATTCTGGGGAACTGCTTAAGGGACTGGATAGCAGTCTTGCCTCAAAACTAAGCTGTGATGTGAGAGTTCCCTGCTTTTGATGTGTCCTTGTCCTGAAATAAGCGCTACATTGCCTTTCTTGACACTTTAATATAGGGCATTCAATATAAGATGATGATTCTGGTGTATAAGTGTTTCAAAAAATTTTTTTTTTTGTAATATGAAACATTTACTAATCTGTTCCCTGTTTCTAAAGCTTGCTTATTTTTAATCTATATTTTGAGAGTATTTCCCCTGGTATGTTGAATGGTTTTCTATAATAGTAACAGGAAAATTGTGGAAAGGTTC